AAATTATGGTTTACCCTTTTGGGGTAACTCACGCCAAAGTATAAAAATTTTTAGAATGAAGAAGAATATAATTAGAATTATGTTGGGATGCAGAAGGAGGTATTCATGCAGGAACTTATTTAGAGAATTAGAAATCTTACCTCTGGCATCTCAGTACATACTATCTCTTATGCTCTTTGTGATAAAAAACAGAAACAAATTCATAGTAAATTCAGAGATTCATAGAATAAATACCAGACAGCAAAATAATCTCCATCAGCCTCTTGTAAATTTGAGTAAATACCAAAAGGAAGTTTACTGTTTAGGAACAAAGGTCTATAATAATCTACCACAACATATTAATGTGTAACTCAATAAGTTACTAAATTAAACAAAAACACGTTCCTTGTTATGAATTCTAACTTCCTGTTTCGCCTTCTGTCTGCTGTAAGGATTATGCAAGCACTTATATGGGCACATTCCGTATCAGTTCATGTCCAAGCTAATGTGTTGTAAAATGATGTAAAAAACTTGTTCCTTGTTATGAATTCTAACCTATTATCTCACCTTCTGTCTGTTCCAAGAATGATGAAGGCATTTATAAGAGTACAAATTATGGGATGTAGACTATGTCTCCCTGATACAATTAATACTAAAAGAAATCCTAAACCAGAACTTAACCATTTTCTACTATCTTTGTCTTCTCTTTGCCGGAAGACGTGACCAATTCCTATGGACAAAAAGAGCAGTAACAAATACACTATGTCGTCCCACTCCATATTTGAACCACGTGATGGCATGGAGAATGAATGTCAAATCAATCTCTTTAAATGTTTCTCCATACTCAGAGTAATAGAAAATGAAAACACTTTGAAATTCCCGCATATTTCTATAAATATTCTCACATTAATTACTCAGTATCTCTCATTAAAGATGATTGATTATTATTCATTTCATTAGCTGGGCATAGAGTGTCAAAGGTTGGTAGGAATTCAGGTTTGAATCGTGGTTATATTAGCACAGCGAAAAGGATTAAGGGTTACGATAGGTTAGAATAGAAGAATAATTAGCTTATCTACTTTGTTTTTCTCAGCGCGGTTATGTCTCTTTGGTGCGGAATATCGAAAAACAGATGAAAAAATGTTTGACATGACGCTGGAAAGTTTGTCAGTTCTTCGTTAACCATTATTATAATATCCTAACCTCAAATCAAACTGTCACATAAGTTGGTATCTATGGCAGACCTACCATTTAAATTGAACGTTGAATGTCATGGTTAACGAAGAAGGCCTTGTTGTTTATAATAACAAGATAATCTAGTCCAGAGTAATATATTATTCGATGGATACCTTGGATTTAGTAGCAGAAGAGTTAGGGATTCCTCCAAGGTATATTAAAACTACAACCTCGAAGGATAGAGTGGTTATAGTCGTCCATAAAACCTGGCTAAAGTAAGTCTAGAGCCATACGGTAAATATAATTTTAAAGCAATGATATTTGTGGAAATGAAATGTCATGCTTTTCTATAAGTTTGAATCCTTTGAGAGTATTAAAAGACTAATACCATTCTTTCACATTGTAGCATCTAACCCTCATAATTCAATCCCATAATACAGGTCATTGTTGAGAACTCATCAGATTCCAGAATTTATTTATCATGAATCACTTAGTCCAGATGAGGTAGAAGCATGGTTACACCAGGGAGAAGAGCTTGGCCACTCATGGCAGAGGCTTTTTGTCAGAGTAAGCATTACTCTTCAGTTGTTTTGGGCTGTTTTTTTTTTCTTATTTCTTTCAGATCTTTGTAGAACATTGTCTGTTAATATTTGATATAGCCGTAATATTAATTTTTCTAACTCCTTTTCTTCCAGGTTTTACTAAAGCACAATAAAAAGGTTATTCCTTTGCCCCGAGCTAGAGCTGTTTCATCAAGAGTTGAACCTGAACTTACTTTTTCTCAGTTACTCCATTATGTATCACAAACCAATCACAAGAATCTTTGGAAAGAGGCTTTCAAGAAATACCTCAGTAAGTGTAAAAAAAAAAACAAAAAAACTTTTGATTACCATAAAATAAGAAAAGTAAAAGTGAAGGTATTCCTGTAACAGGCTGTAGAGGCCCATAGGGTTGTGAGATATTAAGGTTCCCACATTTTGTAGACAATCAGGCCATAGATGTGGCAAGGTTGTCAGCCCTACGTGCTAGCGGCCCTTTACCCCAAAGATTATTCCAAGAATATTCCTGGCACTCATTTCTGTTAGAGGCTGAATCGACCCCAGGGCCATAGTGTAGCTGGAAGGACTAGGTCAAATGAAGGAAATCCAATGACCTCATGAGGACTTTTACCCGTGACCTGGCTTGTAGCATAGTGCCTCAACCAACCACACTACTGCGTGCCCTGATTACTGTAAAATATATTTTAATAATTAATCTTCATCATTCCTAATAGTATAGATACTGTTATTCAGATTATTTTAATGTGAAAGTTAGTAAATTAAGCTATGTGTAAATCAGTAATTATACTTATGCATGTAATGTGTGGTGGGGTATGGTGGAGCATTGCCGCATTGGTAACTGTTAGTGATTTTTATTTAATTAAATGCTGCAATTTCAAATTGTAGCATGGCTAATGTATAACAAAAACCACAAGATCCAGTCATTATATTTCTGCACTGTTTATTTATTTACTTCATATCCATGGATCATTATACATGATATAGGACAAGTCAAATACTTTACAATAATAAATAATAATANTGGCAGCTGATTTAACGTACAGAGTCCAATATTATTGAAATTGTTTTTGTATAGAGTCGTATTACATGGCACTATGAACAGGTTCTCTTTTCTCCTTGTATTGTGCGAGTGTATTCCTGAATTGGTTATGAAAACATTCAAATTGGTTTTTATGCAAACTAGAATTTCATATGCAGGGTGTCCCAGGAGGAATGTGCCAGACTTCGGGAGGGTGTTCCTTATGTTAATATATGCCGATATAACCCAAAATACCTATGTCCAAAGTTGAACGGTTACAGAGATAATGGCCCGAGAAAAGTGTGGTCTTCTGGCTGGTCCACACACTGTACCTGTCAGCTGACAAGTCTTATCAATGTTTGTCCTTGAGTTGGTGATGACGTCTCACACTAGCCGCATACACTCACATACCAGAATGCACAGTCAGCCATGTTACGTCAATGCTTGCCATTCATGTGTCATGTATAGTACTTGGAACCCTAACGACAACTATGACATGGAGTGCGAGTTTTTATTTTTTTTTTGTAGTTCAATTTAATGGCTTCATGTCACTCACAAGTTAATTTGATGTTACGTACATTATTAACATTACAGAGATCACATATTCCTGCCAGTTTTAAGATGTATTTGGTAATCAACAAGCGTGTAACACCTGTCAAAGTTTCACACTTCTCTGGCCATTATCTCCGTAACCGTTCAACTTTGGACATATGTGTTTTGGGTTATTTTGGCATACTTTAGCATAAGGAACACCCTCCCGAAGCCTGTCACATTCCTCTTGGGACATCCTGTATATACAGACATGGTAAAGGTAATATATGTAAAGATTTAAAATATTGTTTACAACTAATAGTTTTCGGGATTTGCATCATAGCTCTAATAGCTCTCTTCTGCAACCTAAAGATCAATTTTGCATTTCCTGAATTGCCCCAAAATATCAAACCATATAATAACAAGGACTGAAAATAAGCATAATATAAGGTGCAAACAGTCTCTAACTCTGATACTCTTTTGACTACTCGTAAGGCAAAACATATTTTACATAATTTATTTGCTAGTTATTGAGTATGTGCATACCACCTTAGATTCTTATCCAACCAAACTCCCAAAAATTTTGTATGTTCTATATAATTGATGACTGTATCATAGAGCTTTATTGATAGGCATTCGACTTGCACTTTTTGAAGTTGATGAAAGGATATTGCTATTGTTTTTTCTTTATTAAGAATTAATCTATACCTTTCAAACCATTCTGTGAGTGCATTTATTGTTTTATTTATTTTCCTTTGGACATCATTAGCACTCTTTCCTGCTATAAGAATACTAGTATCATCGGCCAAAAACTAAGAGCTATAACTTTTGTATTTGGTGTGTAACATTAGTACTGAAGCTGCAGATTGCTTGTCATATTTGCTCCTTTAATGCTATGATGACGGGTGGTTAAAGACAATACTAATTCACTTCGTCAGCCATCTCTTCGTTGGCTAATCCCACCGCTGTCACCACTTTGTTCTGTTGTAAAGGGGGGGGGGCTAAGTGACTCGTTAACCCTTAAACATCTGCCGCTTTGATTCGGGTCCGCTGTTCTCCAGAGAAGCTAAAGGGGATGCAAGATCCACAGGGGAAGGTGCGTGTTGTGAAGGGTGAGAGGTCCATTGACTTTACACACTTCTTCCTGTTCTATCCATCTGTCCTATATACATATATACACACAGTCACTGCCAACGTTTGTCAGGTACATTATGCTTAGATACATTCTCCTTCGGCCGGAAGTAGTTACGCTTATTTCACCCAGCTCCAGGTTTCTAGACCTCTCCCTTTCTCTCTTTCTTTCCTAAGCCTGGTCCATCTCTTACTCCTCCTAACTCCCTGGGGGTTTACACTTTAATATTATCATGCTCAATGTCCATGGCTATACAGAGTGGTTCCACTTACTTGTGAAGACGATGCTGGCGCACACCACCAACCAACACCCTCTCGGCATCATCTCTCTCTCCGAGGTTTCTTGCTGATCACGTCGCAACAATCTAACAGTGATGAATGTGAAGACAATGCTCAAGATAGCCGTAAATAGATATAGATCTCCATCTGACAATCAATCTGACAAAAATTTGACAATCCAATCCAATCCCCATAATACTGATGATCCCCTTTTTATATTGTCTTCTTGCTACCCACCGGCTTCCAGGTGTGTATACACCTGCCCATCATGATGTGATTTTGGTTGGGGTGGTTAGCTCTCTTTGGCTGACTGGCGAAGGGGGATTGCGTTCCCTAGCCTAATGCCTTCTCTGACTCAGCGATTTCTTAGTGCCTCAGTGCCTTACTGCACTACTTTCTTACTAAATCTCTTCCTTGTCGCAAGCGTTAGTAAGCTGACACTGTAACATTCTGGCTAGCTTGCTATTGCCTAACTGGCGTCATTACCTTCTTAACAAATCCTGCTTCCTTGTACATTTCATTCATCTATTTCTTAACCTTAATTTCTAAAAACACCTATTCTTAATTAACATAAAAATATATCCACTTGTACATAAAGTTTGGGGCACAACAACGCGTAGTATGTTGGCATTTAATGATTTTTACAACACACTTGCAATGCATACTGATTTTAAATGTCACAGTTCAGTAGTGCAAAAATACAAAACAAGTTGGCTCCAATGGTTCTGGTGTTCAAGAGGTGCTTATTTCAAATTTGGGCCAGGTCACCAACTCTCATGATTGGGGTTATATTAAGTTATCTTAAGGCACCCTAGGTAAATTCTGGGATAGTCCTTCAAATTAGTGTATTGTCATTTCCTTCTACATCCCTTCCAATTCATTATTCAGTTCATTAAATGAAGCATAAATGAACAAATATATAAGTGATGCACAAATCGACAGAGGCAGGCAGGAGGTGGTACTTACTTGAGAAGGAAACTAAAGTTCTATCATTCTTGTTAGTCTGAGTGAGAATTTATTGTACGAGTAATATGAGACCAAACAGAACAAAAATACACCAGCATTTTTGTCCCACAAGAATTACATATAAGAAGGGAAATGAGTTCCCACCTTCATTATAATTGCATTCATAAAATTTGAACCTGATAGGAGACGGTTTTCATAATTTAAATTGTTTTTCATATTGTTGGTGACATTATCATTATGATAAATATTAGGAGGAGGGAAGAAAAACAAGTGCTAGTAGACAAATATTGACACAAGAATTCGGTTCTAATTTGAGGGTTCATTTGTCTTCTGTATCCTAGTACATTGTTAAAAAGTTTTAATGTTTCATTATATATAATTTCTTTGTTAAGAATTTTTACTGTGGTGATCCACGGTCATAATATGTGGTTCTATATGCTTTGTGTTGCAGATGGAAACATGTCTGCTGATGGGAAAGGACTCCCGCATATCAGCCTTGTTAAGTATGATACAGTGGTGCAAGATATCATCACTCGTACGTTTGGCTGTCCGATAATAAACATGAATCACAGTATCAATGACACAGCTTCCGCTGATGTGAAAGTGAAAGTGTATGAGGCCCACTATAATGTTTTGCCAGCCATGTGTGCACTGGAAATGGACACTTGCTTTCTTGTCATTCAGCAACCTTATATCTGCCATACACTCCAAGACTGTGTAACCTTCAGTCCAGCCATGTTGGGTACTTCTCATGCTAAGCCTTTGTTTATTATCTATCAGCTTCTTCAGGCCATGAGGACCATGCATGACCGTGGGTTAGTGCTTGGAGATGTTATCCTGAATGACATTTTGGTGACAGAGAATTTATGGATCCAGGTAAGAAATGCATTCCTCTGCTTTTTGTTTTTGTTTCTTGCTTTATTTAGCAATTTTAAATAATTGCATATGTTGCATTGCATTCATTGGTGGAATGATTATTGAATTGAATTGAATTTATTTACATTCTATAAATCCTAAGCAGGTTAGTACCTTTGGATACAGAACAAGTCAAAATGTTACATACATAAGTACAGGCAATTTTAGCTTAAAAATTAATATAACTTAATTTTACATCATTCTCTATTTACATTGAAGTATTCATCTAAAGAGTAGAAGGAATGAGCATGTAGATAATTCTTTAACTCTGATTTAAACTTTTTAGTATCATTGCCCAAGTTTTTAATACTTTGTGGCAGATTGTTGAACACTTTTATGCCAGTAAAGTAGACTCCTTTTTGAAATACTGATAAAGTTGATGAGGGTAGGTGGAAGTTGTATTTTTGTCTAGTATTCATGTTATAGACATCAGAATTTAATTTGAATTTATCTTTGTTGTAAACAACAAATAGGAGAAGCGATAATATGTATTGCGATTGAAGCGGTAGAATTTTTAATTTCTTAAATAATTCTCTACATGAATCTCTACTTCTACATCCTGTAATGATTCTTATTATATTCTTTTGTATTTTAAAAATTATTACACTATGTGAAGAGTTCCCCCAAAATATTAATCCATAGTTCATAATAGAATGAAAGTAGGCATGGTAAACCATCTTCAATGTTTCCTGTGACATAAAAGGCTTAATTGATCTCATCACATAGCAAGCTGCATTTAATTTAGGTATAATTTGTTCAATATGAGTCAGGTATGGGAAAGAATGTGGAAGGAAATTTCCATGGCCTGTTTTAAGATACCAACCCAACATTTGTCTTGAGTGACTGAGTAAAACAATGACAAGCTTCAATAATGATACCTAATCATATCTTGTACCTCTCAAACACATAGGCAGAAGTAATAATCACTGTGCCATAATGTTTATTATCCTTGGTTTTGTTGTCTGTATGCTAATTTTACATTTTCCAGCAGTGTCTATTCCTTCTGGAGTTTTTATTCTAAGTTAATGACAGAACCCCTAAAACTTTAGAAGTGTCATTATCCATGTGAAAATTTCATGGGAATATCACTTTTCATCTGTTTCATACTTTGTCTTAGATAATGCCACAGCTGGAAGACAATATTCATGAGAAACCAAAGACTGACAGAAATAAAACATCAATCAATTCCATGACAACATTTTCCAAGACAAGGGACCAAACCAAAGAAGCTGAAGAGGAACTCGAGGAGGAGGAGGAGGAGGAGGAAGAAGAGGAAGGGGAAGATGATGACTTGGATGATATATTAAAAGTAAAGAAGTTCAGTTATTTAAAATCTTCTTTTAACAGGCATCTAAGTGAATTAAATACTCATTCCTCTCCCATGATATCACTGAACCATACACAAGAGTTATTATCTGTAGAGTGCCAGAATTTAACTCCTTCCTTATACATTGACAGACATTCCAAGGTTGAACCAGAAACAAGATGGAGCAATTCAAATAGTTTTCACAAGGACACAAAGACCTTAAATGACATTCGAAGCAGCTACCTGAGGACCCTTGGTGTTATTCCAGGAAATCACAGATTTTCTAAGAACAGATTACAAGATAGTGAAATAAAGGGTTGTTGTAGTGGAGCTGATATCAACGAAGTGACAGATTTGGAACAGCTATGCAAGATGTGGGTGTATGGTCAACTTTCCAACTTTGACTATCTCACAGCTCTTAATCGTCTTGCTGGTCGGAGGTTTGGCGACCCTACGTGTCATCATGTCATGCCTTGGGTCACTGACTTTTCTTCACGTTCTGGGTTCAACTGGCGGGATCTTTCAAGATCTAAGTTCCGTCTTAATAAAGGAGATCGACAGTTAGATCTGACATATGACACTGCTGCAGGAGCTTCTCAGGTAATTTATTTCACAAAGAAACATATCAGATATTCATTGTTCCATATAATACTGATCCTATGTATTTCATACAGTTTATTCTGTTAATATTGAAAACATAAAAGTGTGAGGATATTAACATAAAAAAAAATTTAAATTCGCTTAGTGGGGGGCGGAGTCCAACTGGGTCCACTCGGCACGGTGGCCACTGATTGGCTTATTGTAGCCTGCCCCGGATGATTATGATGATGGAGAATTTGGTGGAATGAAGATTGGCAGGGGAAACCGAAGTACTCGGAGGAAACCCGCCCCAGTCCCACTTTGTCCACCACAAATCCCACTTGACCAGACCCAGGATTGAACCCTGGCCACCACGGTGGGAAGCCATTGACTAACCGCTTGAGCTATGGCGTGGCCAGGGTATTAACATAAATAGACAGCATGAAAGAAGGTAAAATGCTCTAATGACACAGTATGCACCAAAATATTCAGTACTGAAATGAAAAGACGTCCTGTTGATACCACTGTATTCATGTGAAGGCCTCTTGCATGAGAAAACCTTCTCAAATCCTGAAGAAATGGTCCGATCACCATGTCCCTCTAGCATTCTTGGGTGACGGTAAGAGCATTGCCTTCCTCATCCTCAGTGAAATAGGGGCCTAATATACCATGTGCTGAGACGGCACACCATATCGTCACACGAGTACTATGTAGTGGTTTCTGAATAATAACATCTGGCTGCTCAAAACCAAGGAAGCAAGTTGTCTGGCGACCACTTCCATATGAGCAGAAATAATACTCACCTATGAATACTTTTTTTCTCTGTTGAGAGACCCATTTCCAACAACAGCTGCACAACACAACTTCCCTTTCACTATTGGGAACATGTGCATCTGAAGCTATGCCCTGTTGACAAACACACATGCGTGTTCGAGATGCGCGAGTTTCAGTACTGCATCTTTTGGTGCATACTGTATTTATCCAGAAGGAACAAGACAAAGCTGGTAAATTTTGACACCTTCAGAAAGTGGCAATCTTTTACATGATTCTACAGGTTTCCTTCACTGGTATACTCTGGTCATCCTCATGCTTTTCAGTCAACTTTAAGTAAATCAGAAGTTCATATACAATTTTGATATGAGAACACAAGAAAAGATTCATTGTAGGATCAGGTCATTGAAAGAGAACAATGTAATTGAATTTTAAACATTGTTCATTTGATGAATTTAAACGGTAGTTGTGTAAGTATTACAAAGCACAGAATTTCTTTTCTGTAGAATCCCACAATTGACTGAAATGTTCCCAGTGATTCTGCAGAGAATCTTCTCATTATCTGGATTAATTATAAATGTCAACTTAATCTGAAAACTGAATTCCTTCACAAGAGACTGTTTAAGCTAGAATTCTCATCGAACAGAACATAAAACAAGAATTTTGAAGGTTTTCCAATTTTGGATGATAAGTGAGTTTTGAAAATGTGTACCCATTATCAGAATCCAATGCTTTAAAATTATTTCTTATATTCTAAGAATTTACAAGAGTTTAACTAAAAAACATTCTTTAATACTTTTGTTTAAGATTACTAAGAGAAAACTTTAAATCTTGATTTGTTTCACTTTTCTCTTTTATTATTCAACATATGTCATTGATTCACCATCTTACATGCATTGTGTCCTTTAAAACTTATTTAAAAGTTTCTTACATCACACAGTGTCCCTTTTAAAGCCTTATTTAAAAGTTTCTGTACATTGCACTGCATGTTTCGACCAACATTGGTCATCATCAGGTGTTTAAAATTGTTGGGGGAGACTGCTGTGCTTCTATTGTGTGGTTCTAATATTCAATGTGTAGTCCCATCTATGCGCTCATGTATTCCATGTTGCTGGATGGCTCTTTCTGTTGTGTTGTGTATTTATCATTTATCATTTTATTATCATTCAACAATCCATATATACAGGTGTTACAACCATTTGGAAAAGGAAATTGTCAGTTTTACATCTAATTCTCATGCACATCTTTAGAGTATACACTGTACCACCCTAATATAGGGGGGTTTGTCATCTGAATAATATTATCTAGATCTAGTTATCATTAGTTTCATTGTCTTTACACAAATACGACAAATTAATCAGCTACATATTACATTTACACACTTGAAAAGTCAAAAAACATAAATTCATCTACAGAATAAAAGGAATATTTCAGCAAAAGAAATTTTAATTCCTTTTTAAATGAGCTAAAATGTTCCCTTTGTTTTATTTGATCGGGGACCTTATTATACAAACTAATTCCCATATTTATCACACCCCTCTTAAAAAGAGCTGTATTACAGTGCTGTACATGAAAATTTAATTTTCTTCGTGTGTTATAATTATGAATGTCTGAATTTATTGCCATGAAAACCTTGTATTTTTTGATAAAGCATGTCACCTCAAATGTATACAGAGAAGGCAATGTTAAAACATTGTAATCTTTAAAAATTTATCTACATGATGTGCCACTACTAGTACCACTAATCACTCGAAGAACCTGACTTGTCCAATTGTACATAATGTAACACTTATGGATGTTAAATCAATCAACCCGCTTTTGCAATTTAAAAATGCTTTTACTTTCTCCATCCCCACCCCACAATAAGATACCGTTTCTCATACATGACTCAAAATTCGAAAAATATTTTTTTTTTTTCCCATGTAATTACACTACAAGTGTTTATCTTTTTCATGTTCCATAAAGAACCAAACTATTATGTGTCCCTTTTATGTATGTGACTTTTAATTTGGTTTAGGGTTCCACCACAATCCTTTTAGTCCAACAGAAATGCATGGACAAAATATGTTTTGAGATGTTGCCATGTTTCCTGGAGATCTGACAATGTGATGTCTTATTTTATACATACAAAGTTTTCCTCTTTGTTTGCTTGTATGTTCTGTGGAATATACAGGTTCCACATCATGTGTCAGATGTTCTGTCTGAGATAACCTACTATGTATACATGTCACGTCGAACACCACGCTCAGTGCTGTGCAAGTATGTCCGCACCAATTGGGTGCCAGCTGAGTATCCATCATCTGTTCAGCGCTTGCAGGAGTGGACGCCCGATGAATGCATTCCAGAGTTCTTCACTGACCCTACAGTATTTGAGGTAAATAACAGGAAGCAGGTTTGAAAGGACCTGTTAGATTGCTCAGAATTCTTTCTTTGTAAGTGGACATTTAACCCCAAAACCTCCATTTCATAAGATTGAATGTGTCCTATTAAAAAAAAACTCAATTTTATTTATGAATACTGTAGGTAAATGAATTTCTTGTTTTTTTTTTAGTAGACCTACTTAGAGTATTTTTCAGAGTGCAAAACATACTACATTCCTGGAAAATGACACCTGAAATCTTTGTGCATCTTATAGTCTTAAGGTACAGCAAAATTTTTCCTATAATTTTGCTTCTAAAATCTGGATGTTTCTGATAGCCAAGAAAATATGGACTATTTGATCTGAGTATGTTTAAGTTGAAGATATTTTTACATTGTCAGTTGTTTGACTAGATCCAACTCAAGAAATAGTATTAAATAAGTATATAAATAGACTACCATTTAATTCATAAAGAGATATCATATTTCAAACATCTCATTACATGTAGTTACTATAGGATTCCAGTGATTGAGGCTAGCTCTTTCTAAGGGACCCAACTGAATAGGTGTTTTCCTTCACCTGAGGACGGAAACAGATCCAGTTTCCGAAATGTCGTGTTTTTATTTGTTATCTTAAAAACCAGGACGATGGATAAAGTCCAAAATCCCAACATATCAGTATCTCATTACATTCTCAATAATTTTACCACAATCAAAACTACTCCTGTTTGCAGTTTGGAATCAAAATTACAAATTTATCTGTTCTTTTTATGACTTTTATGAATTCTCTACATTGCCAGTAGTGTTTTAAGCATTTTATGTGCAACTAATTAAAAATTAACCAATTTGAAGCATTAGCATTAACACTTTAACACTGTTTATAAAGTCGCCTTTTTCATTTCTCTTACTAACTCTCATCTACATTAAGATTAAAACTGAATGATGGTGAAAACTGAACTACTTGAATTTGTAGGAGCAGTAGATGGTAACTCAGCCATAGATTTCCAGTTAATATTTACTGAGTAGAAAGCAAGGCTTGAAGTCCCCTTCTAACAGTTGGTTTAGCAATCAGAAGTTTGCAACACAGTCTTTTCATTTACAACTTCTTTATTAAGACCGTCACAACACAACTATATGAAGGTCAGTGCCTGGTTTTGGCTCTGCTACATGTTTCGACTATTAATAGCCATCATCAGGCAAATACATGGCCAACATATATACACCACTGAACTGCAGTACTAGTAAAATTGGATACAATAATATTAATTATATTAAAATACTTGATGTAAAAATACAATAAATTAGATTATATAAAACAAAAGTTATAGTATAAAACAAGAATAAAATTCTTCGATTGATGCCTTACATCATCGAGTCAGTTGTTGGTTTTTGTGATTTTTCATTTATAACACTTCTGTTGAAGACATTTTGAGTGGAGCTCCTTCATATAAGAAAATTAAAAAAGTCCGCTCTGAAAGATATAAATGACAAACATCATACAAAACTATTTTTTCATAATATCCTTTCTTTTCCAAATGCACTTTGTACCAAGTTCTATCACGTTTTGAGATTGTTTTCATTCAGGTTGGAGGTCAGCTCAAGTCTGGAAGGCTAAATATATTTTGAAGTACAGTTTCAATTAAACTAGGGCTTGGATGCATGCCGTGTGGACATACAGAGTCATAAGTAAATGATCTTTCCATTAGATGGAGGTAAGAGGTCATCTTTATGCTCTGGTTGCCTGCTATCCATTGTACAAGGGGTATAAAATATTTTGAATGTGATGTTTATGAAAGAATTCTGTTATCCATGCTGTTAATTGAACCTTGGCATTAGACTCCATATACCTTCCCTTTACTCACTGCTAACATGGCATACTTCCCTTTTAGTGCAATTTATTTACTTTTAATTTTATGATCCTCATTATGTTAGATGTCTGCCTAATCCAAAAGTTTTCATATCACACTGAGAACATCTGTAATTTATTTTGCAGTCTGTACATGAAGATTTACCAGATCTTGAGATTCCACTGTGGGCCTCATCGATACAGGACTTCATTGACAAGCATCGGGAAGCTCTGGAGAGTACCCATGTGTCCGAGAGACTGCATCACTGGATAGATCTCACATTTGGCTACAAGTGAGTAGGCTGTCATCTGGTCTAAATAAGTTGGTACTGAGTAAGATTTCTAGTAGCAAGTTCCAATCACAATTTAATTTAACACACCAGTATAGGTTATGCAACTCAGCATATATGTAATACAGTTCAGGATTTGAAACTAATTAGTTTGTCTTCTTGTAATGTTGGCTGTCCTTTTTTTGCTTTATAAGTTTCTTCTCAGTTCCTTATGATCTGCCTCAGCTGCATTCTTCCTAAATCTCAATCACTTCTATACCCATGACAACTGTAACACTGTCCCACAAGTGCAGTTTATGTTATGTGTTTCTGCCAGTAGAAAAACAAGCAGTTGGGAAATCTGTAAAATGACGAATTTTGTGTACGGTGGCACGGTTTAATTGGGGTAATTGTCATTAGGACAGTGGTTAATGTTTTTTTTCTGAGTAGTCCCATTTCGAATTTTTATATGTGTTGTTACATCCACTGGTTCATTGTGAAGTAATATTCCTATTTAAGCACAATAGACCACTGAGGTTACGGTGCAAGGGCCAAGAAGGCCTACCCCTCATACATTCATTCATACAATACTTTATGTCTTATCCATGTTTATGTCCACTTCTTAAATATTTGAACATAGTAGGCTGGAATTAAGGAATTCAGATCAATGGGAAGTGATGTAGCACATAGTATTCTTAAGCAGGACAGTCAAAGAAGTAGTAGTTATTTAAAATTGCAGGTTGTCTGGAAATGCTGCAGTGAAATCCAAGAATGTTTGTCTGCAGTTGGTAGACAGCCATACAACACTGACCAATACAGGAGTGGTTCAACTATTTATTCAACCACATCCACAGAGATGCATGCCATCACCTTTCTGGGGAAAGACACCTCCAAAACTCCACCCTCCTCCACAAGACAGAAAAAGTAAGACTCTTGCAGCATTGTCATTATTGTGTGCTAGAATTGACATAAACTGTAGTGAACAGGAAGTGACAGCAGTGACTATGAGATGTTATCTTTTGGAATGTAATGCTATGTCGTCTGTTAGAAGCTCACTTGTTGTTTAGTGAAAGAGGTTCTCACAGCAGTGAATATGGAGAGTACTGTCTTCTCTGCTCCACATTACATGCAATTACAGCCCAGAAGATAGTACTTTTCAAGAAAATATGAATAACATAATATTCTAATTAAGCGGCCTCCGTAGTCTAGAGGTAACATTCCCACCTCATGACTCAAGGTACGCGGGTTCAAACCCGGCGGAGGTCGTGGAATTTTTAAGGGCGGAAAAATTCAGGGAACAAGTCCTCCGGGAGGGACTTTAAGCCGTGGGTCCCGTGTCGTAGATTTACGGCACGTAAAAGAACCTCATGTCTCTAGGAGACCTCTGAGCAAAATTTGGCCAAAAGTTTCCCGCCCAAAAGAGTTTCCAATGCCTCCGGTAGATGGGGGAAGTATTCGGTACCACTGCCAGAGGAGGGGGGGACCTCTCTGAGCACCAGTACCGGAAGGGTATGGAGACAGTAGAAATTAAAAGGGGGACGCACAATGGACCAATAACTGGTCTACGTGCATGGGGAAACCCACCCCCTCTATACTCAATACTCAATACAATATTCTAATTAACTCTTATGGAGAACTGATGTATTTTTATTCCTTTTTTTTAGTAATTATGTTTATTTCTTAAACCTAGGTAGACTGAATAGATAACTATAGCAAATGGAAGTATCTTGTCAGAGATCTGAATTTAAACTCGTACGCAGTTTGGCATACATATCGAAAGCACATGCTGCAACAATCCCTGTTGTTGCAAGTTGTATTGACCCTTTCAATACTGAACTCTTCAAAATGTTTGTGTATTTTGTTTTATATTTTATTATAGGCTTTGTTTTATATTTCATATTTATATATTGATTTTATACTACATAATTATTTAAGCTCCTTATATTTTTATATACTTGTATTTGTTATTCTTTTATAATATATAATTACATATTTTCATTTTTAAAATTTTTGTGTTATGTTTTCAGTTTATATTTTTGTGATAACTTATAAATTTGCTTTGTGCTACAAATTGATAGTCTGAAGAAGGCTTTTCAAATTGTGAGCCACAGAAAAATAAAATATTATTCTTACTGCAGGCTAATTTCAAGTTTTGGATCCTGTTGTTATATTATTTGTCATTTAATTAACTTAACTGAAGGAGTTAAATGAGCTCATTAAAACAAATGTAAACCACTCAGCGTTAATGAGGTATCTGGCACTGCCTGTGTCTCATCAAATTTCAAATGCCAAAATTGGTTTTAGAGGAGGCAACTCTGAGAGTTGCTTGTTTGTGTAATAATGTAATCTAATAGGCATGTCATGTTAACAGAACCATCTGAACGTGTCAGTGAAGATGAGGGTCACAGTTCAGGTTTTGAGGAAGAGGAATCAGCAACATCACAGGGACAGTCAAGATCGTCACCACTTGCACTCACTCGTCTTCTCAGTCGATCCCGCGGTTCCCTGCTGGTTAGTGCTGTCATACTGTTCTTTGGTTCACTAGTCAGAATCATGGGACAAGTTCATTGCATAACTTGAAATCATTATAAAATTTTCTGTTTTATGAAAATCCCATGTAAACCAGAAATAGAACTGTAGTGGACGGACTAAGCAGGCTGGTACAGTTGCAATATTCTAGACTTATATTAGAATATCAACCAGCTGACTAGCCATCCTGCCTCTGGTTCCTTATCTTTTCTTCAGTGTCTCCACATGAATCTTGAGATAATATCTTAAAACAGGCAACAGCTATGAGCTTCCATATTCTTAAAATCTTACTGTTCATGATCATCTTTCCATCTTGTTCTACATTGCGTCTCCATTGCTGTTGGAATAACGTAATCAAATGGTGACTGAGTGAGTTGGAGTATCCAGTAGGTGCTCAGTTCAGTTCTCAGCTGGGTTACCTGCTATCCTGACAGAGATTTTTCATGTTTTTCCCCAGTCCCTACAGGCAAATACAGGGGTAGTATCTAAACCCATGATGACTTCCTTCCAGATCCTTTGCAATTGATGACTACAGGGTGGAAAAAGTAATTGGAACATTAAGAAATAGAGGAATAAAATTTGTGTTGGTTACATTGAAAGAACTTGAGTTGGCAACACTCAATGTTCTTCTTCATTTGTTTACACTCTGTATTGCTTGTGTCAGTGCATTAGTGATTGTGTTGAGTGAAGTCTATGTGAAACAATTGGAAAATACGAGATTTGACCAATTTTGAACAAGAACAGATTGTTGGTGCATGTTTAGCTGGAGCCACTGTGACAAAACTGCCACATTGTTAGGTGTATCAAGAGTGACAGTTTCTAAGGTTATGTTGGCATACATGAGTCATGGGAAGACAACTTTAGCAAAGAGGAATAATGGCAAAAATAAACATTTACAGAAAGAGATCATCGTACATTGAGAAGCATTGTTTCAAAAAATCACACAACTACTGCAGCACAGGTGACAATAGAACTGAATATTCATCGTGAGGACCCTGTTTCCACAAAAACTGTCTGACATGAAGTACACAAATCCAACATCCAAGGTAGGGCTGCAATTGCTAAACCTCTGCGTACTGAAAGTAATGTAAACAATGACATCATGACCATAAACCTGGACATCAGATAACTGGAAAGGCATGCATGAGTCATCCTTCACACTGTTCCTTATATCAGGAAGAGTTTACATTTGAAGAACATCCAAGAAAGTCTACAGTTCACAATGCCTGTTTCCAACAGTTAAACTTCATTCTACATAAAAGAAACATGAAATCTATTCTGAGAGTAAGTGCATTTTAACATGTTTGCACGCTTTGAGGCCTGCTCAAAATTTGTAAAAACTAAAGTAATAATTGCAGTGAAGAATGTGGAAAATATAATGGACACAAATAATAATGCAGAAGACCTATCTACACTGGGGGACAGGTTTCTAGGTTGGATTTGAGATTCTCTTTGTGGTCAATATCTTTTAGGATGTGACACCCTATAGTTTGATAGATAGGTACAGATGTTCCTTTGAAACAGTTGTACTTGTTGGCAAGTAAGAAATAATTTAAGAGAATAACTTGAAGTCATTTTCACTGATAGCTGGTCATGGAAAGTGATTTTTCAATGTGAAAACAAGTGTCAAATTAGTCTTTGTGTTTAGGGTGTAACAATGCCTAAGTATATATTGAAATATATCTCTCATTTAGAATTTAACTTTGTATTACACCATTGAAATTGTATTTCTTTTTCCTTCTTATACATTTAAAAAATTGTCTGTTTGGAATTCAATTCCATTTTACCCCAGAAGAATCTTAAGTGGAGATTTTAATACAACTTGCTTTTCTGTGAAATTTAGAAGTCTGAATTTTCCCTCTATTTAAAGTTCACTGAAATATTCTTTCCATTGTGTACAGACTCCATTTCCTTCACAGTCAGCAGATGAAAGTGCAGTGAGGGATCGGCCAAATGAACAGCAGAAGTCTGGTGTAAGTGGTTGTGCAGCACCGACGATTGTCCTGCCAAAGGAATACAATCCTGCAGCTGCTTTACAAGCTGTGGAGCAACTGCATGGTTTCCTGAGCAAAACTTTGTATTGTGATTCCAAGTCACCACTCCATCAGAGTCAGCATCAGGTGGCAGCTGCCAGCATTAACTACAAGCAAGTTGTTGCTGGACGTAGGATTCGTGAAATGCAGGTACATAACATTCTTCCTTGGAAATGTCACGGAACATTTTATCCTCCTTTACTTATTTGCTAAGGAACTATAGATGTGTGGTAAAAAAAGTAAAGTAAAGCTATCCCTGTAACGGCCGTGAAGGCCCATTGGGTTGTGAGACGTTAAGGGTCCCACATTACCTTGACAATCAGCTTAATGAGAAATTTTAACATTGTTCTTATGACCTTTCTGGTGGGACTTGAAATTAAACACCTAGAAGCATCAGACCTACCCCCTGGTGGGACTTGGAAACCACACTACTTATATGGGAAAATTTAACATCCATGAAATGTCGCAATTTTAAATCAGCATACATTAGTGTATAATTTCAACGTTATTCTGCAGATGTCTTCAGTTTACGTCATACCTGCTTTTAGAAATTTCACAGTTGGTTCTACTGTCTTCAGTCATCAGCTTGTATTTGAGCTTACACACCAGTAAGACCTCTTTCCTTTCTCTGCAATCAGATTTAGATATCTATATCTTACAAAATTTAACAGACAAACAGCATTAATTAATAACAAATATGAAACAAGAAAATTAAGAAGTATATTTTATGATTGTAAGGAGTTTACACACCTTCATGTGGTAATATGATATTTTGTTTCCATAGTACTTATCAATAACACAGTTCTTTCCTTTTCCTTTCTAGGTCTTGGGTTGTCTAGTTATTGAGTTGTTCCTAGCACCAAAACTTCGACCTCTTGGAAATAATGGCTCATTTTCTTTTGATCAACGTCTAAGGACCTGTCTGTCAGTACTTGTTCGATCTGGAGAAAGTCTGCCTCACTGTGTGCGACAAGCCATTTCTCTTCTACTCCAAGTAGACTTGAATCCAACATTATGCAGTGAGGAAGAGAATCCCACAGCTGAAACAAGGGAAGATGTAGCACAAAGCTCTGAATCATCCACAAGAGTCATTCAGCCTTTCCGTTACCCTACTGTGACTCCTCAGGGCTTGCCTCCACCTTCTGCACATCAGCTTCTTCAACCACTCATCTCCTCAGCTGTTTTCCCCTTTCCACGTTACTTTACCAGAACATACGCCCTGCTCCAAACACTGCATGAGTATTCAAACATGACAAGAGAACTTAGTTTGGCGTGCTTTGTAAGTGAGGATGAAAATGCTTGTGTGAAAAGTGAGGCAGACAGTAAGAAAGTGATATTCCTTGCTAAGATAAGTGAATGTAAAGTGAAAACAGCAGCCAGAGAACTGTCAGCCCTTCTCCCACAAATGCATTCTGCCTCACCAGAAGGTCTAGACCTTATACTACCTTATGTGAGAGAGTTATTGGAGGATCCATCAACTTCTGTTCTTGCAGCATGGCATTTATTTGACCCAGTGGCAAAAGCATTGGGACCTCAGAAAACAGCTACAACATTACTAGAACCCATAGTTAAACTTTATGATTATGCAGCAAATGATGATAATGGCCTAGTTTCCTCAGATGGAGGTAACAGACATGTTAAATTATATCATCGCAGCTTCCTTCTTCAGCTGATAGTTCGTCTTGGTCTTAGAGTATTCCTTGACAACTTCACGGCTCCACTTGTGGAAGCTGTTGGTGGCTACAGGGATCTTCCACAGTTAAACCATAGTCAACTTCATGACAGATCAGAGTTTCGCCATAAGGCCTCTCACCTCAAGTACGTACCTATCACTGAGTATGCATTAGCGTTAGAGTTATGTTTGTTCTCTGTAGTCACGTAGCATAAATATGGTTGAGGAATGTGCTAAAGTCAGGAATATGTTGAAGGAAATGTGCTTCATCCTAGTTCTCAGTGCAATACTATCAGGTTTCCCCCCAAAAAAATTCTACTAGATAAGATTTGAGGCTTTCTTCAATTCTACTAGAGTTTGCTACCATTACAGGAAATAGAAGCAATTTTGGCAAATTTATTTCTCTTACTGGAAATGAGCAAAAATTTAAGTTACATTTTTCAAATTATTTAGGGACTGTGGATATCATGTTTGCATATTGTATGCTTTAGTGTTCTTTAGAATACAGACAATGGACAAATTCCAAAAACCCAGTAATTACAATTGTTGTACACCTTTAGAATGAACTGTACATACATATTTACATGTATACCTGTACAATTCCCAGATAGTAAGACCAAGGTAATGAACTAAAAAAGAATGATAATATTTAGGAGTTGTGAACTGGAGGAAGGTGCCCATGAAGGTGGAGGCATTCTCTCACCTCTGGACGAAGACTCATCAGCAGACTCAGATCACAATAACCCAAATGGTAGTGTTGAGAGGAAAGAGAAGGATAAAGGTGAAGAAGAAGAAGACTCTGATGCAGAAATTGAGCCAGGTGAGTAAGCTTCAGTGAAGGATGACTGCTAATATGGAAGCAGTCAGAATATTGGTCAGTTTATAAACAAAATGTACCTCACCATATATGTAAGGCCAAAGGAACAATTCTAATAATTGTACATGGAAAGTGCCACATAACTTATTTTTGTTTTAGTGTCATACAAATGTCTGTGATGACTTAACAGACAAGTGAATTAGTGTGGTAGACATTTCATTTGGATATAATAGACATTTAAAGTGGTTAAATAGTTATTAGTGGAAGAATTTCTAGTACATGAACTTTGCAATCAGTGATATGATGAGGTCATCACAAACAGTAATCTCAAAGAGTATTCTGGACATACAGAAAGTCTTCAGACTGTGATTTACCTGAGTCAAAACATTATAGTATAACAACACAGCATGACACAAACAACAGGACCTCATGAAAGAGTCCAATTCGTGAAACAGTAGAACCACGACGGGGTAGACATTCAGCTTCTTTTAAAGAGAGGCAATATAAAGGACACGAACCAAATTGGTCCTAAAAATTTTAACAAAATCTGTTTTAAACCATTCTTGTAAATAAACTGATTGTAATAATTTATAAATATTTTAATGTATTCATGCACGTTGCTGTAGTTGTTAAAGGATCAGATTTTATATTCATGGCATTGTGATGATATTGTATGTATGTATTGATATTGACCAATCACATTGTAATAGTAGTTTCTGCCTGTATTGATATATCCTTCTGAAGATGGTCTCTGAGACTGAAACATGTCAAGGATGAGAGATTAAAAAAGAAAGAAATAAAGAACATTTTATCTGTCACACTGGATGGAGTTGGTTAGCCTTTTGAATTATTTTAATGTAATTAGTCTTGTTTATGTATGTCCCAGCATTGTTTATGAAATAAACCATATTATATATTATACAGAGTATTTATTGCAAAAAATGAATCAGTTTACAACATAATGCACCATCTTTCTACTCGCAGTAACAGTGTGCATGAGCTAAATAAGAAGGATCATTGTAACAGAAATGTATTTATATATAATATGTAATATGATTCAGTCCTTAAGCTACAGTGATGGACATGTAAACAATAATTACATTAAATAATTGCATGTCAGTATAGAAATAATTGGTGAACTGGCAATAAATATGCATATCTGTTGTAGACAAATCAGAATCTTAAGTTATAGGTTAAGTATTTGCTATAAATGTGTAGAATATTTGTCTCTTTACAGAAGTGTTTGTGTTTGAGACAGAGGAGAATGGCAAATCATCACCTGCAGGTGAGGAACAAGCTCCTTTGTATCATATTATGGATCATCTTGACCTAAATTTGCCACAGATAGCTGGAGAAATGGATGATAACAGTTCTTTGGAATTGCAAGGTACTTTGTTGCACTTAATTTTTCATATCATGCATTCCAGTAATTAGTCTGATGATACAGATATTAAGAAACATAATTGTATATTCTTTTTGAGTTATCCCTAAGAATCTTCACCCCTGTGTTATTATTCCGCCATTTTTAGGAGCCTGTGAGAACTCAGCAAACATGTCAGTTGAGTGGTCAACATTTCTATTACAGTCCC